TGAAGACTGCTGAAATGCTCTTTTCACAACTGAAATTTCAATTTACTTGATCAGTGGTGTGGAGGTCGGCTGACCCCTAACGAAGGATAGGTTTGAGTTTTTCGAGCCCGAAAAATACCGGGCAAGGAATATTGCTGCTGCTGTTACGACAAGTCAACGCCCTTTGTTGCTATTTTGCAGAGGAACTATACAACACACTCTAGGTGAGGTATAAGAGCGTATACTTTACGTAGAAAATGGTGGAGTATTGTTAGGGTTATGGATTACACAGCTGTATATTTCGCATATTCAAGAGCAGAATAACTTTATAAAAACAGAACCTAGAAATGTATTGTTTGTTTTTTATGGAAAGTTGGCAGTAACTGAATCCGCTTGTACCCTCAATAAAAAAGGAGAATCCTTTAGGGCACCCTGCTTTCATTTTCGGCCCTGTTAGGTCAAAAAATTATATCCAGTTTCAAAGGAGTATTGTAGTCATTTCATGCCTGGTAGCCGTTGTGAAGTATAAGAGCGTATGATTTCCGCAGCAAATGGTGGAGTATTGCACTAATTCATTTTTATTAATTCATATTTCACTTTAGCAAAAAACGTTTTCAATTCCTTCGGTCTTTTGAATCTTTTCATTATTACTTTTCAATATCTTCTCCTCGTCTCAGATGCTTAACTTTTAAGGAAACCGACGGAACTTGGAATTTGAACCGATCCAAGTTAACAAAAATACGGTCGTTGCTTTTGACATCGAACTTTATATATCGTCCTATAGCTGTTGGTAATTTCAGTGGTCGTAGGGAAATTACAGTAGAGTGATTTAGCAAGAGGACGGGAAGGTCAGTTAAGAACGGCGCGTGCAGAAAAAATACCGGTAAGAAACTGGGTCGAGAACGTTGCCCGTCTCAGATGTGACTTAGCAGTCGTTGCAACGAGACGTAAACGTTATATTTGTTCTTGACCCTCTCTGAGAGTTATGAAACAAGCGCAAACAGAGGATAGTTATAGATACGACAAATAAGTTGTTTGAAAATAAAATAAAATTAACTTTCAGTTAAGTCTCGTGTCTATTGATTCATGCATCTATCAACTTTTGGAGCCAACTGCAGAAATTGTTACTGTGATTCGAACCGCTGTGATTTCGTTTTGCGTCACAAGATTTCAGCACCACTCGTTTTTCTTCATAATTTCAAAAAGTATAATTTGGAAATCGTCGTGGTTTTTCCCCGTTTTTACTGAATATTTCATCACAATCATGACAGTACATCTCTTTTGAGCATCACCTTCTTAGAGTTGCAATGCATTTTGAACAGAGTTATCAGGAGCTATGACGAAACCATGTAGAAACTAAGCAACCCAAAGATAGAGTTGTTTAAGACTGTTTATTACGACTTGTTGTTTGACGATAAAAGAAAGAAATGAGATCAAACTAGTCACAAGCGAAACGAATGGACTTAGGAATAAGAGTTTGTTCCTGTTTAATTTTTTTTTTGATAATTTTATTCATTTTTCTCGTATCTTTTTTTAACAAATGAAATTTTCAAGACTGAATTAAATTGATAGATTTAGAAAGCCGTGCCGAAATCAAATTGATAGATTTAGAAAGCCTTGCCGAAATCAAATTGATTGTCATTTTCTTTCGTGGCGAGAGCATGACTTTCTTGTCTTAAAAATTTAACACATAAAAAGTGCACACCCGATCCATTCTCAAATTGTTTTATCTGTGACTTCAACTAGCAGAACATTTATTCATCACGGTAAAAACCACAATGACAACAAATAACAAAATGATACAGTAGGTAAGCTTCGTGATATTTCATTTTGGTTAGCTTTAACATAAGGCAAGTTTATTGACGAATTTATACTCAATAAAATTCAACAGCATCCCATTCTTAGAGTTTTCGTATAGAGTTAAAGAAATGTATCAAAGAAAAGCCTTACATATTTAAAAGCCTTACTTAATTGTCAATTAAAAGAGAAGTCGAAATAGAGTGGTGTCCTGACTAAGAGGGCGCGCTCACCCTCCCGTTGCAAAATCACTTTAAAAAAAAGATTTTTTATATAGACCACGACACACAATAAGTTCAGCATCTCAATCATGACTAAATTAAGAAGCTTTCGGAAAAGTCGAGATTCCATCCTCAGCCGTTCCAAATTTAAACAGCCATTCTCAACTGATCCTGGCGCCTAAATGTTCAAGAAGTGAATTCAAATGGTTCAGAGTAAGTAAGACTTTATCAGTTTACTATAAAATATGGTTATTTGCTTTTTACTCATGCACACCGGGCGCACGAGTTGTACAATGCTTTCTGTTTCTTCGTATTTTTGGTGTCGCATTCGTGTATGCAAATTTATGCACGGAACATTAAGCACGGTGTTGACTGTCGACTTTAACGGGGTGAGGGGTAGGGAATTGTTTGAAATATACTAAGGCTGCAAAAAATTTTTTTAAGTGTTGAGAAAATGCATGGAAAGATTTGAAAGAGCAATACAGTCTTGAAATGTGTACACCTATGGAGTATCAACCTATTTCGTGTGAGAAAAATACGGTTCGTGTACTAGAAATCAACCATCAGTTCATTTTTCGAGTCCCTTTTAAAAGCTGAGTATGGTAGCGCCCAGAGCATCGTTTCTTGACTTCAGCTGGTGCTCTGGTCCTCTGTCGAGAACGTGGAGCCAAAGGTAAGTTGTTGACATTAAAAGACATGATAAAATTTTTATTAAGTTGTTTTACATACAAATTCATTGCATGAGAGCGGGGATCGACGCTAAGGTCAGGCGAACTGATCTCGATCAACAAGCCCGTCATCTCCTAGTGATCTTTGAGAACCTTGAAGCAACTTTGAGAATTATCTTGAGCGAAACTGAGATTACCCTAAGCAAAACTGAACCTTTATTGATAAGCAAATCTGATCCGTTAGATTTCGCTGAAGCTGATGAAGCTGTCTCAATTATCAATTCACAGTTTAGTTGTTGCACTTACTTTGTTATTTATAAGACACGCGTGCCCTATCGCACGCGTGTCATATCGCACGTTAAGCGTGACACCTAGCACACTAGCAGGGACAAAGGCTTAAGCATGCCACACAAAAGTTGCCTTGCCAATCTTTATTTCTTTATTAGTGCCGTGTCATTGCACGCGTACTCGTGTCTTATTCCCTGTTTTCGCGTGGAGGGTCACAAATGTTCCTCTTTGATAGTTGAACTATTTATTTTATTTTATTGAGTATTTTAGCTTGAAATTACCGATCGCTTTTACTATTCTTGAATAAATTAAAGATCTAATAACGCCAGAACCAACAAAAAATTTACGATGCGTAGTTTTGATAATTTGTGTAATAGAGCAACAGAACTGATAACAACTGCGTCAAAACAGTCCGGCTTTCAAAAGATCGAAGGCAATCATTCTTTCTAGCGAAGATATCTTCTTCAACTTATATCAAATCTAATTACAAATGAATAAGGAGAGAACATAAATCAGTTTTTTTCAAGCATCTTTTCAAGTAGCGTGAAATTGTTCCCTTTCTCTTTTTCTTTTAGCTAAGGACGAATTTTAGGATACGTAGCTTTGACACTTTGTGTAATAGAATGACAGAACTGATAACTATTTCTTCAAAACAGTTTAGAAAAGCCCAATGCCATTTATTTTTCTCGCACTAATTTTAGTACTCTAGTCAACCTTCCCGGTTGATCTAAGTAGAAACATTATTCAATATATATTAAATTGGATTACAAAAAAATAAGACGAGAATAACAGATCAGTTTTTTCAACTATTTCTTTAAATGACATGAAATCTTTGACTGTCTCTTTAAAATAGAAATGGTTTTACGATCAAGGCCATTCAAATGCACTTGTTCCGATCAAAACACCTTTAGGGAGTTTTCTTTTAACTTTAGCATTGAAGTTAGTTTAGCAAGCAGGAGACTGCAATGTAAGGTTAGTCCAAAGAAGATGAATACTGCTGAAAAGCCCTCTTTACATCTGAAACATTCAGTCTACTTGGTCAGTGCTGTGGAAGTCGGCTGAACGGCCCTGATGAAGGAGAGGGATTGTTTCGCCCAAGCCCGGAAAAAAGCAAGGAATACTGCTGCCGATACTATTTGTCCACTCCCTTGTGCTCTCATGCAGTGGAAAAGATAAAGGCAATGCTTGCACTTGTGTCACTGCTTTCCCTTCATACCACAATTTCGTGTCCGGCCATAAACCACTTCGATATGTATTCGTGTAGCATATTTTTCGCTAACCAGTTGCAGTGTGCATTTTGAATTCGCATACAACCCTTAATCTAGGGTATTCCAATAACTATTCAAAGGAAAAAAAAATTTGAGTTACATTCTGAGCAGCCTTTATTCGTTTTAGCGACCTTGTTTGCATTTGTTTTCAGTTACTAACCGTTGCTTTCGTCACGGAAACGATCTGAATGTAAAAAAAAGAGGAAATCGAAGCTTCTATCTGGCTTCCTCAGTATTTCCTCTTTTATATTTTGGGTATTCACGGGTATCTAACTGTTTCCATCCAATTTAAACTTGCATTGTGGTGGTAAGAACTGACAGCGGAAAGTGTGGGGTTTATGATGTATTCTAAACTTTACCACCACGAATCGAAAACAGAAATGTAAATCACTCTTTAGATTCTAAGATGTTTATTGTTGTGCTGAAGTCACAATTTCTCAAAAGTCATGTCACAATCTTATAACGTCTAATTATGATAACCAATTGACTCACTCAATGCCCGGTAACTAGGGAAAAGGGCAATTGTTCGGAAAGAGTTGTAAGTAACTACTGGCATGATTAGTAAATGAAGGCAGTCATGAAAAAACTGAAGTTTTGAAAGAATCGAAAACACACTTGCACTCAGTTTTAAGTCTCAGGGAGCATTTACGGGCTTTACGAATTGAGAGGATGACACAACACACTTGAACATATCAATGTTGTTTTTATTTTTCAACTGACTTGATTCTTATCACAATAATGTCAGAAGTAAAGAGGTAATAAAAACACTTCCATCCCAGTTACAAAGGGTTAACATGAGCCACAGCAGTTTCTTCCAGCAGAACCTTCTTGCTGCCTTTGTCTTCGATGTCGGTCCTCGTAATGCGATGTTCTACGACGTGGTTTGGGGGCAGTGTGACCGGCTCCTTTGTTCTGTGCAAAAGGAAAAAACAACTTATTAAAATACAAAATATGCGTTTTACTTTCCCTATCAGCGTTGGGTTTTTTACTTGTTTTTTTGAACATCAATGCTTTTGAACTTTGTACAGTGTAGATCAGCAATTACTTGTATCAATAATTATCTTTCCATCGCCCTCAACATCTTTCACTGACAAGTGCAGGGAAGGAAACATTTTTAGCTATAAAGGATACTATAAAAGATAACCTTTAGTATCTTGAGAAGAGTCTTATTCGATCCCAAACATTTTATTGACACAAGAAATTAGTATTAAGCCGTTCTCTCAAGGCCATTTTCATCCCAGCGTTCCCTTTGGTTGCTTTTATCCTGTAAAACACAGAAGATACAATCCAAATGCTCCAAAGGAATGATATCCAACCGTTGAAGCTGTTACAGAAACAAAATACTTACTTGTAAGAAGTGTGAAACTGGCACCTGTGATAACCGCCTCCTTTGAGTAGTAGGAACATAGTCACATCACCTCTCAATATGTTGTTGGAGACGGTCATTTTCTCGAAGGAAGGGTCCCAGCCAGTTGTCCTCTTTCCCATGATGGGTCCGTCGGCGGGAAAGTTTACGCCATGAAACATGGATACGTGCGTAAACAAATTGCCCTTAAGACTGTAAAGTTAAGTAAATTTGACACATCAGTGAAAATATTGAAATTTCCCTTTGTCATATACCTAGGGTGCAATGTGCTCTTTAGAATAATGCGTTAGTGCCTTTTATTTTTGAGATTTGTCATTTCCGCTACGATGTTTTTTCAAACTAAACCCATTTACTTACAAATTCCTATTTCAAAATTTAGCAGTCTGCATATTCTCTGGTCACTATGCTTTTTGTGTAGGTTTGTTCCCTGTAGCTAGACGGGAAGCGTTCTCGGGAGAATCACAATTAAGTTACACCTTCAAAAAGGGCGCTCCCTTCTCCGTGTAAAAGATGACCTTGAAGATTTCTTATAAAAAGTATTATCTCAATGCTATACTAATCATCAATTTTATACCTAATGTGTCCACTGGCTGTAGCAACTCCTCCATCCTCAAATGTAAATGTCCTTTCATATGACATTCCAGCAGGAAAGGCTTGTTTGAAATAGTCGTGCATGCCCTCAGGATACTTAGTAAAGCATCTGTTTCCATATTTGAACGCTGACGACAGTATGTCAAAGGAAAATGGTAGCGGTCCTCCTTTGGTGACCCAATAAGTGGATTTCTGTATTCCTCTAAAATAAGATGATAAGAGTGTTGGAAATTATTTTCAGAAACAGCTCATGTATGACCAGAAATACAGGAAAATTAGGAAAGACCAAGTATTTCATGCTCATGATAACTCAAACTTAAGTCAAATACTGCATAACCTTTCGTGTTAAGTGTAAGAGATTAAAGTATCGCAAGTAAATTACGCTGGGACTGAGCGTTTACAGGATAATCTGCAGTAGCCTTTACAATTCGCCTGACTCTGGAAACAGATGAAGAAGTCGATATCATAGACTGTAGCTACTGTACTGTAGATGCAGCCCATGTATGCCCTGAAATAAACGAAAATTAGGAACGACCAAATATTTTATGCTCATGATAATTCAAACTTAAGTCAAAAAGTGCATGACCTTTCATGCCAACTTGTAAAAAATTAAAGCATCCCAAAAAAACTCAGTTGTGACTTAGCGCTGCAGTAGCCTTTACACCTCGCCTGACTTTGGAAGCAGATGAAGAAGTCGATGTCATAGACTGCAGGTAATTTGCAAACTCGAATAAAAACAAGTCATAGTTTATGACTGAAGATCTTCTCATGAACCTTGGATCTTGTTCACTTTTCTTTTCAAAAAAAGTCTTTATTGATAGTTGTTTATTTCCCAAAATCATTGAAACCGTGATATCGGGCCTTCATCTGACGACTGCAATGTGATCTTATTCAACTCTGGGTTTAAAATTAAATTGCTAGACATAACATGAATAATGAAATAATTCATCGTGGTCTGTCTTTTAAGAGACACTTACTCGTAAGGCTTTCCTTTTCCTTCACCTTTCATCTCAAAGTAATGTCCATTGACACTACCCTTCATTTCAAATTCCATAAACACGTCTTCTGGAATGACCTGAGTAAGAAAAAGCAAAGAAACGATTATTTTCTACATACACTAATAATTCAACGACCTAAGCTGGTTTTAATTTGCCAGCGCATTACTTTCTCACTATCTCAAACGACATATTAACAATTATTGATTTCTACAATTAAGATACAGCTTACGCCATATCAAATTAACAAAGTGCGCCTGATGAATAAGAAATGATATGCCGACGCATTAATTTACTTGTGCGTATTTTTTGTTATTTTCAAAGTATTATTATAAACTTGCGCTTGCTCAAGGTGCATTATTTTATACCAAATTGTATTTAGTGTTTTTAAATGTGCCACACGCAGTTAGTTTATTAACAGAATTTATATTTTAGTTACCTGTTAAGGCAAAATAATTCCATCATATTCGGATTGTTTTCACTCGAATATTTTTAAACAAAATTCTAATGTCACGCGCAACGCAACTTTATTCAGAAATACATTTGATAATGCTTATTGACGCCCATTTCCCATTCATCATTGAGTATTTTAATGATACACTGAAATGCGCCGGCCAAATAAACACTCAAACCAACATCTTTTTATGTTTCCCACGCTTTGTTTGAATAATGTGTGGGTGTCTCTTGTTGTCAGTGTTTTGCCACGCGTGACAATAATTTTTTGAGTGCAAACAGAAGATTCTTAAAAAATATTTTACTTTGAATCAATATAGATGATGATATTAGATTAAGTTGATGAGTTTCATTTTCAAAATGACAAAGTGGCTAAAACAGATGATAAATGTTGTCAAAACCAAGATTTAATTCATGATAATTGGATGAATGTTTGCCGTCAATGCGGTCAAGTCATTAATCATGATTTTGCGACAATTGTCATTAAAGTTATAGAAAAGCGAAAAAATCAGTCTACCGAAGAAAATATCGTGTGAACAAGGTTTTGAATAATACGATCGATAAGTACCATATCATGTTAAGCTACGACGAAATAAACGAGTTTCACCGTTTCTTTCAAATAGCAGAACAGCAAATGGTACAGATGAAGATTAAAAGGTACGTTAAGTCTAACTATATCTTCTTCAGAATTTTTAGTTAAATAGAACTACATCTGCTTTATCTTTATCTACTTAGCGAACAAAGCTTTCCAAATTACATTCAAAACACCAGACGTAGTTCACTTCGAATTTCTCGATCTATCCTAGTTTCTCAGACCGCATCCAAACAGGTTTTACTACACAGCTTCCATCTAAGACTCCCAGCGGAACGTGACGTAAAATACGTCATGCGTTACTAGGTAACAGTGCTCATACATATGCTCGAACCCCACTCAAGTGGGGTTCGCAGAATTACACACTTTGTCCGTGTTGAAGTCGTCATGTCAATACTCTTTTTGGTTTTTCTTCAGTATCACTAGTTTAGTGATCTGAATCATCAATAAATACATGTTCACTAAAAAAAATTTGCTTTCTTTCTTTTTGTTTCTTCTTTTATTCTTTTATTTTGATCTGCAGTAAATGGTTCTGTATGTACTTTTCAAACTATAATTCTTGGTAAAAGTATACGTTTTTCCTTTAAAGTTTTGTTCTTCTCAAAGATACTGGGTTTTCCGTAAAATTTTTGTTCTTGGGAAAGGTACTGGTCAGTAGGTTAGACATAATTTCTTCTTTCGGTTGTAAGGAACATTTTTCTTTGTTCTTGGAAAAGGAACAGGGTTTTTTTTATTAAACTAACTTTTCATGGTTTTAAAAAGTTTGTTTTCTTTGATTAACTTTTTTAACAAGTGCACAAAAATCAGTTGCGTTCATTACTATATATCATATAAAGATTTTGATTTTAAATATGTTTTTGACAAGCGCATTTCAGTGTATCATTAAAACGCTCAACGATGAATGGGAAATGGGTTTGTATAAGCATTATAAAATGGATTTCTGAATAAAGTTCCGTTGCGCGTGACATAAGAATTTTGTACAAAAATATTTGAGTGAAAAAAATGCCGCGCACATTAAAAATGCATCTGAGAGCTTGTGGGATACAAGAAGTAAACTAATGCACCGGCACGCCCTTTTTCCGTCCATCATAAGCCACACGTCATTTGGCTCTCTACATAATTGTCCTACTCTTTGACCTTCTTTTAAAATATTTCCTTGAGCTGCAATATTTCATTGCATTAGAAACAAACACTGGACTGAATTTAGCTTCAAGGTGAGCTGGAAATTTGAGGACATAAAGAATGAATTAAACGAGCCATAACTGACTCCTAAAGACAGGTTAATTAGCTAGTATAGCGATACACTACGACGATATTTTTCTGTCTGTGGTTTGTGAGGCATGCATCTATTTCAGTAACTCTTCAAACTGGCGAAATAAAGCGATCGAGTTCAGTATATTATTTATTTTTGCCTAACAAAAATTTTTTCTGTGTAGTTTCATTAATGAGATGCCTTAGTATAAAGTGGGAGCTATACAAAATTGACTGGAAATGAACTGCAATGACGGGGTGGGGCTCATAAGGTGGGTCAAAAGAATATTACGTGAATCAACCAAAATACTTCAGCTCCTCTCCTTAGTCGATGGATAATGAACAGTACCAAAGATTAAGTTCTGTGCCTTCAACAATTGCGAATCCTCCTTGACAACAGGATGCAACACCCAGGAAAATTGATGCTCACCTCCGAGGATTATCGTTTTACTTGATTTTCATCCGCAGGTCAAATTAACTTCATTTCATTAAATATGAAGCTCAGATTTCTCCACGGGAAAGAAAAAATCTTAAAAGTTCTCATTGCTCCTAAGGTGTGGATTCCTAGTTGGTTAGTAGCAGCGCCCAACTAGTATCTGAGCGGAATAGGTTTGAATCCTGTCGAAGTCTAATATTTTCAAGCTTCTTTTCTGCATTGGTAAAATTACAGCTCATCTGCGAGGATTACTGCTTTGCCTGATTTTAGTGAAAGGTCATAACGTTTGAAGAGCATGTTTTGGGTGTGGCATAGCAATTTGCGTTCGGACGATTCTACCTTATTCTTTGTTACCGGGGTAAGTTCCACTCTCTTTCCTTAGTTCAAGAATTCACTAACCTGCTTTGAAAGAGACATGTTGAAGATAAACCGCTTGATTTTCAAAACTGGATTACGAGTTGAAATAGTCTGTTGTGGTTCACTCCGTCGTTGACCAAGCTGAACTGATTAGAGTGTGAGGGTGGATTGATGTTTTAAGCTAAAATAGAACAAACAAACGCTCATTAATAATGATGATACCACGTGAATCATCGTGTGATATCCCACGTAAACCATGGTGTGATATTGAACAATTTGTCCATGCTTGGTGCGCATGTATTTGTAGCTTAAACTTTAAGTAAAATTTAAAAGAAGTCTTAAATCGTGTAACAAAAAAGTAATATTCGATTCCTTTTTGATAGATTTTAGATTGTTTATAGCTTATGCAATTTGTTGGTTAGTAATCTGTTTCGTCAAACAGAGGCGCACCTATGGATACTTGTAACAAAATTTCATTTCCTCTTTTAATTGAAATACCAGTTGGATAACTTCATCCGCAGCCCGTTTAACCACAGTCGGCCTAAGCTCCAGCTGTGAGATGATCATCTTGGGAAGTAAGAGTCATGGTGAGATTTTAGATGGAAATATTTATGATCGCTCTTAGGAATAAAAAAATCGCTCAAATTTTCAACTAAAATACCTCACCTTACTTCCGCCGTGCATCACGTGGTACATTTGGCATAATCAGTTTTGCCACATGCAGGAATGTGACTCCAAATTGCAGTTACACGGTCACTTTGGAGCTTGGATTTTTCGCTTCTGCGGAAATGCAGTGTGCAGCCTTGGGCTTCCCTTATGCAGTAAACCTAGAAATGGATGACTCACTAAAATGGGTTCTTTTCAACGTAAAGAAAAAAGCGATCAGCTTGATTACCACACCGTCTCTTAGCATCAATAATAGTATTAAACTACGGGTGCCAAGGAACGGTGTGGTCCCCGGCGAGGTACAGTTTGCAAAGAAAGCAAGGTTTTTTTGTTTTTTTTGTTTTTGACCTTGACTTTAGCAAAGCGTTGACTAATTTAATAATGTGTTATCCAACTGTAAAAGCTTAGGGTTTGGCTCCCAATTGGCTCGTTAGCTCAGTTGGTAGAGCGCTGCACCGGTTCAAATCCCGTACAGGCTTGAATTTTTTTTCAGACCTTATTTTCACTACTGCTTAAGAAGTGTTCATAACTGCGAAGATCGCTTCCGTATTCATTTCTTTATCCACAGTTCACATATGTGGTTTTCATATATTTACGGTTGTAACTTGTTCTGCCATTGACTTTACGGACAATTGTTTTCATTTCAGTACCACAAGTATTAGAGTTGCCTAAATCGTTTCCACTGCTAAAGAGAAGCTTATTTCGTGGACTTTGCAGAAATATTCGTAGCCGTTAGTGGACCTCTTTCTTCGTTAGGACACTTACTTAATGTGAATTTTCACCCAAGAGCCATTCTAAAGATGGCATTTCGAGCGTTTATAAAACTAAACCATCTGATTATGTAATCATTTGTGTCCGTGTGCTGCCATCTATCGACCCTGTGTCTTTTTTTTTTGTTTTTGTTTCTGACCTTGACTTTAGCAAAGCATTGACTAATTCAATAGTGCTTTTGTAACCCGCTTAGTGAACCTGCCCCCTGCAAAGGAGGCAGGATTACCAAGCTGGTTTTCAAAGGTCGTGTGTCGTGGTGAATGTGTATGCAGGCCGTTAGAAACGTCTAAACTGGAAATTTTTTAAGCAAATTGCGGGTTAGTGTCGGTATTACGAGGAGGATTGAGTTTGTAATGAATTGAGATGAAACTACGGTATATGTTCTTGGATTCTACGTTGGATATGTGGCTGCACGGTCATTCTGAGCGTAGCTTTTCGCCTCTCGGATCGGGTGTTCGGAAATGGAATGTGCAGCCTTGGGCTCGGTCAGTGTAACATGCAAACTGGGGGTAAAATGCAGACTCGGTTCTTTAGTTTAAATTAATGAACATTTAATTTTTCCAGTGAATAAAAACACGTCACAGCAAAACTAAATTTCCTAAGCATCCCTTGTCAGCCAACAAGAAGCACAACATAGGTTAAGTTGACCATGACAGCCGCAGATTTACCTCGGCATAATACTGGAGAGAAAGAATGAGCGGAATAAAAAAAGGCAAACACCTGGGCCCAGTTGTATAAAGGGCGGATAACAATATCCAACGGATAAATCGCTATCCAGCGGATAAGTAATAGCAAAACGCATAGCGTTATCCATCGGATACAGATTTATCCAGTGGATAGCGTTATCCGATCTTCAAACAACCAAGGCCAGGGGATATTGTTTGGAGGTTTTTAATTAGACCCTTCGTGGTCTCACACCCACAAATTTGCATTAAATTTAAAGAATTTGCACGCCTAACTTCGCAGCGCAAAATAAATTCAAATAATAATAATTATTGTAATTGTCCAAGTTATCGAAATTGCCGATGTGTGATTAAAGTCTATCGCTGTTACTTTCAAGGCCGAACAAAGTATACATGAGCTACATGTATGTTAATGCTACCTAATGTTGCCCAGCAGAACTGTTTATCCCTTAACAAGGGAAATGTATTTAGCTGGCTGTGAACTGCATATTAAAACACTTACGTTTCTCGTTCTTACCTTGAAACAATATGTCAACGTCGAGATCACCTGAGGAAGTGAAGTTCGAAACATCAATCGCAATGACGATTATTGCCAGCCTCTCATGACTAACACGGCCTCAATCTAGCTCATTCTTGAAGTGGAAGGGGGGAAGCGGCTTGTTTTAGACCCGAGTCTGCATTTTACCCCTGATCTACAGTCTTCAGTGTGCATTTTACCCTCAGTCTGTATTTCATCCCCGGTCTGCAGTCTGCAGTCGCTATACTTTAAGAAGAACAAAATCTGTAAAGGAAAAATGTTTACCTTTACCAAACTATATTGTTTCAAAAGTGGAGAAACCTGAGCTTCATCTATAAACAGATACATGCCCCACAAACCCCAGACAGAAAAATACCGTCGTAGTGTGTCGCTATTTATAATATAATACTAATTAACCTGTCTTCATGTGCCAGTTGTAGTTGGTTTAATTCGTTCTCCATGTCCTCAAGCTTCCAACCCACCTTCGAGCTAAGTTTAGTCCAGTGTTTGTTTCTGATGCGGTGAAATATTGCAGCGCAAGGAAATATTTTAAAAGAACGTCAAAGAGTAGGAAAGTTACATATATAGAGCCAAATGGTCCGAGGCGCACTGTGTTAATTTAATATGGCGTAAGCTGTATCTTAAGGGTAGAAATAAAAAAATTGATGGATAGTGAGCAAGTAATGTACCACAAAGGCGCCATATAGACAAGATACATAATACATAATTAGTACAAATTGGTGGCAGAACGAAATAGAAATGGAAAAAACAGAAACGTCGAATGGGACATAAAACGAGGTAAGAGAATGTCGTTAGATATCGCTATCCAGAATGTGGGTGTCTTTTATTTTTAATCAGCATAAAGCATTACAGAATTTATGACGACATTGGGGAAACAAATAATGATCACGAGTATTTCAGAAGGAGAGACAGAGACTTAATACTTTTAATTATTTAGAAATTTACTAGAAGCTAAATGGAAACCATTGTCAAGCAATGCTAAAAAATCTAATATTTCCTTTGTCAAAGTCTTTCAGACTGTCAAATAACTTATCACATTCAAACTTTGAATGATTAAAAGATGTATTGATTGCATGCTTATCAGCAAAGATGGTGGGGCATGACGCTTCGCTGGTTTAAGTGGGCTTTCACAACTCCCCCTTTTACATGCACTTTTACATAGTAGGGTATTTTTTATTGTTATAAGTTTTTATTTTGTTTAGCAGGTATGCACTGAATAGATTGATATGATAAGGGTTATGGGTACAATTTATAACGGTAATAGGACTGAGTGGAGTCCAATTCTGAGTGGAGTCCAAACTAGACATTGGCTATACGTTTTCATAAAAAAAATTTTAAAAAAAAGTAAAAAAAAACATCAGTTAACTCGTCGAAATGCGAGACAACAGCTCGTGCTCATGATGCGTTCTGTCCACATACATAGGTATGACGTGTTAATTTTCCTTTAACTATCCTACTGCACCGTCCAATTACAAGCATAACGCATACACTGTCCTATTAATACTAGAATTTTGTTGTAGTTTTGACTGGCGCGGGATTTACTTCTCATATAAAACCAGAACGCTCTCATGAAGTCATCTTCAACGTCGAGTTTCCTTTCTTATTTTTGTATTCAAAATAGGAGCCGTTAAGTGCCGCTATCATTGCACTGTCTTAATGTTTAATGCTTTGCTAAAAGTAAAGATTAAATACTACGACCCCTAAATGGGCGGTGCACAAGCACAAGTGATAACATGACCAGCTTGGATTAATCGCAGATCCAGATATAGAGGGGTAAACGACACAAACGTTGACTGACCCATGGAACGAGATGAGGCAAGATCGCAGCCAAAAGGTATTACTACAAAGAGGAAATTGTAGTTGACATTCAGAAAACACACCAAAAAGAGAACAATTCCAGGGAAAGAGAGACAATGAAATTTTACTTATTGCTCCCACGGAGTTTAGGCGGAACTATTCAAACATGTCAGACAAGTAACTCTTTCTCTTTATAAGTCTTTAAAACTATTTCATACTAGGGCTCAATAAATAATTTAATTAAAGGCTCATCTGCCTGCATATGGATTGGCTCGTCGTCTCCCTGGAGCGGCCTTTTACAATAAAGATTTTTAAAAGTGGGAGACTGCATCTGCCGACCCCTGGTTAGCCCCTCGGTGGCGGCGTGGGTTAGCGTATCTTTTTGGCAGTTAGAGTCTGAGGTCAAGACGTGTCTTGATAAAAGTTATTTTAGGAGATTTTCGTGGTCGGCTGTGGAGCAAGGATGTGATCCAGCACTTACAAACAACCTTCCTACTCCTGAAATTCGACCCCCTCTTATTTCCCTCTGTAGGAATTTGGCCTAATCTGGGGTATTTCAATAAATATGCTAAGGAAAACTGCTATTTGAGTTGCAAGTCTTATTTCGTTTTTCGAGATCTTGTTTACATTTTTTTTCACTTCCTAGCCATTGCTTTCTTTGCGTAAAAGACCTGAATGTAAAAAAAGGAAACAGAAGCCTTTAGTTAGCTTCCTCAGCATCTTTTGAATTTTGGGTATTCACGGGTATCTGACTCTTTCCGTTCGCTTTATACTTGCATTATTGCATTATGGTGGTAAGAACTGAATGCGGAAAGTATGGGATTCGTGATGTATTCTGAACTTTACCACCTCAAATCGAAAGCAGATATGTAAATCAGCTGCTGTTTTCAGAGATTTCAGTTAGTGATATGTTTATTTTTGTGCTAGAGTCATGATTTCTCAAAAGTCATGTCACAGCTTACAGTCTCTAATTATGATGTTCAATTGACTAGCGCAATGCTCGGTAGCTAGGGGGAAGGACAATTGTTCGGAAAGGGTTGTAAGTAGCTATTAGCATTATCACAAAATGAAGGTAGTCATGGAAAAACTGACGTTTTGAACGAATCGACAAAACGTTTGTATCCAGTTTTTTAAATCTCAGCGAGTATCTATGACTTTACGAATTGAGAAGATGACACTACACAGTTGATCACCAATGGTTTTCATCTTTTTTTTCATTTTTCAACTGACCTGATTCGTATTACAATGAAGTCAGAAATTTTCGTGGAGGTAGTGAAAATACTTCCATCCCAGTTACACAAGGTTAACATGAGCCTTAGCATATTCTTCCAGCAGGACCTTCTTGCCGTCTTTGTCAACAAGGTCGGTCCTCACTAAGCGATGTTCTACGACGTGGTTCGAAGGCACAGTGACCGGCTTCTTTGTTCTGTGCAAAAGGAAGAAATACTTGTTAAAATACATAATATGCGTTTTACGTTCCCCATCAGCGTTGGTTTTTCTACTTGTTTCATGAACATCAATGCCTACGAACTTTTTTTTTTTTTCGGTACAGTGTAGTTTAGCAATTACTTGTGATTACTTCTCCATCGTCCTGAACATCTTTTATCGACAAATGCAAGGAAAGAAACATTTTTAACTTTAAAGGATATCATTATAGATAATCTTTAGTATCTTGTGAAGAGTCTTATTCTCTCCCAAACATTTTCTTGACACGGGAAATTAGTATTTAGCCGTTCTCTCCAGGCCCTTTCATCCCAGCGTTCTCTTCGGTTGCATCTATCCCGTCAAACTCAGAAGATGAGAACCGATAGTTCAAAAGAAATGATATTCAACTATTGGAGCTGTTACAGTACTTACTTTTAATAAGTGTGAAACTGGCAACTGTGATAACCGCCTCCTTTGAGTTGTAGGAACATAGTCGCATCACCTCTCAACATGTTGTTGGAGACGGTCATTTTCTCAAAGGTCGGGTCCCAGCCAATAATCCTCTTTCCCATAATGGGTCCGTTGGCTGGAAAATTGACGCCATGAAACATGGATTTGTAAGTACAAGACTGTGAAAATTAAGGGAAATTTGAGATATCAATAACAAAAATGTAAAATTACCCTTATATCTGTGTCACATACCTAGAGTATAATGTGCCCTGCAGAATAATGCGTTAGCGCCTCATATTTTTTGAGATTTTGCCATTTCCGCTGCGATGTTTTCCAAATTAAACCCATTTTCCCACAGATGCCTTTTTTGAAATACAGTCGCCTGAATATGCTTTTTTTGTAGTTTTTGTTCCCCTGTAGCTAGACAGGAAGCGTTCCCGTGAGCATCACGACTAAGTTACACTTTCAAAAACGGCGTGGCCTCCTCCGTATAAAAAATGCTCTTGAAGATTTCTTTTAAGGAGTATTATCTCAATACCATACTTATCATCACTTTTATACCTAATATGTCCACTGGCTGTCGCAACTCCTCCATGACCTTTCATACGACCAGCAGGAAAGGCTTGCTTGAAGTAGTTGGGCATGCCCTCAGGATAATAAGTGAAGCACCTATTTCAAGATTTGAACGCTGACGAAAGTACGTCAATGGAAAATGGAAGGGGTCCTCCTTTTGTGACCCAGTAAGTGGACTTCTGTATTCCTCTAAAATAAGACGATAAGAGTGTTGAAAATTATTTTCAGAAACAGCTCATGTATGACCTGAAACACAGGAAAATTAGGAAAGACCAAGTATTAACTCAAACTTAAGTCAAAAGTTGCATAACCTTTCATGTTAAGTTGTGAGAAATTAAAATATCGCAATTTAATTTAGCTGTAACTGAGCTTTTACAGGACAATTTGTCGTAGCCTTTACACTTCGCCTCACTCTGGAAGCAGATGAAGAAGTGAATGTCATAGACTGTTGGTAATTTGCAAACTTGGAAAAAATAAGCCCATAGTTTATAACTGAAAATCTTATTATAGATCTTTGATCTTGTTCACTTTGCTGTCAAAAAAGGTCTTTATTCATTTAAGTAATTTTTCAAAATCATTGATACCGTGACACCAGGCCTTATTAGACGACAACAATGTGATCTTATGCAAATATTTGTTTAACAATAACTTTTTAATCCATAGTAATGAAATAATTCATCGTGGTCCGTCTTTTAAGAGACACTTACTCGTTACGCTTTCCTTTTCCTTCACCTTCGGTCTCAAAGTAATGTCCACTGACATTGCCCTTCATTTCAAATTCCATCCTCATATCTTTTAGAACGACCTGAAGAAGTAAAAGGAAAGAAACGATAATTTTCTAATGACATTAATA